GCATGATGATATCCCATACATGATAATTTAAGTTAGTAATAAAGCCGACAACCACTAATTGTCCATTACCAATGCATAAATGTATATCATGGTATAAAATAATAAATACTTGACCAAAATTTACATAATTCTCATCAAAACTAATTGTTTTTCCGTTCAGAATACTAATACATTGAATTAAGGATCCCTGTCCCACTTTCACCTATTTTTTTTGTATTTAAGCAGTATAAGCTCCCCTTCATTTCGTGTCCGATACAACTATAGCATACAGCTGAGCCACTTCCATTGACCAGATAGCTCAAGATTATCAGTAGTGTAGGTTAAAGCGGGAGTGTAACTATTTGAGTAGACTGGCCACCGTCTCTAGATTAAATAATTAAGAAAAAACTAACTCTAATAATTTTGATCACTTGGATGTCTGATTCTAAGTTCTAAACTTAAGGGGGAGATAAGCTAGTAATAAAATGCAGTCGAGAAATTCTTCATAAAAACTTAGGGGCTGGTGGCCAGTCTACTAATTGAGGTCCAGAGTTTGAATCTAAGCCTAGACCTGTTGTTTATTATATTTTGTTTCTTTTATCATTTTAGTTACAAGTGCATAGTTAACTTACAGCTTTTGACAGTGGTACAGTGATATCTAAATCAATCATGTATAAAATCTTGTTGCCAGATCCTATTAATATTTCTATTAACCTGTGTACTTATTATATATGATATAAATGAAATAAATATTGTTTAAACTATCAGATATTGGATTTTGTATTATTGGAATTGCATTACATCAAGGTAATCAATTATATAACAAAGTGTTTCTATGAGTGCTGTGTCGATCACACTAGTCCTCTCAGTCGACCTGATCCGCTTTCTACCACATCATAGTGTCACATATTGTCACACACAGGTCAATGACATCAGTGGATCCCTTCATAATGACATGTTGCTGATTTGTCTTCTGGCCTGCAGATCCTACACCTATATATAGTCCCCCTAACAACACCTTACAGTCACCGGTCATTACAAAGTACATGATGTGGAGGGTGAGCAGATCCTACACCTATATAGTCCCCCTAACAACACCTTACAGTCACGGGTCATCACAAAGTATAGGATGTGGAGGGTGAGCGACCCTTTATAGGGTCATAATCTCTGGGGGTGGGGAGACTCTACGCCTTTCAGGTCAAGTGTTAAGGACATCTACATATAATCACCAAATTGGCTGACTATCAACATGATCATCCTATGATGGTATCAATAATTAGTGTCCTCGCTACAGAGGAACTGCACATGTTGGGAGGACTGCCCTTGGAAAAATGGTGGTCAGATTCTAGCAAAAACAAAATTATACTGTAGGCTGACCCCCTACCCCCCC